CAAAACATTGAATGTCCTAATTTCACAGCAGTTACCGCAAACTCTTAACATTTTGTGACCCTAGACCCCAAGCCGTAAACCCCAAACCCTGAACCACAGAACCTAAACCCTAGGCCCCAAATTAATTTCAGAACCACCTAAACCCTAAACCCTAAATAGTAGTTTCCATCTTATTTTCCGTTATCCCAATATAACCCCAATACAGCCCCTACGTACCCCTAATATAACTCCAATATAACCCTAATATAACCCACCCTAAACCCTAGATCTTAAAACCTAAACCAAGAACCCTGATATTCCTAAATTCTACCCATGGCCGAGGTGAGTTCACCACCATGGCTGGGAGGCGAACAGCCAAGGCCCTCAAGAAGATCTTCGTGGACAAAGGACGCTGTGGAGGTTTTTGGGAGTTTAGGGTTTAGGGCTGAGGTTTTCGGAGTTTAGGGTTAAGGGTTGAGGTTTTCGGAGTTTAGGGTTAAGGGTTGAGGTTTTCAGAGTTTTTTGGTTTAGGGTTTAGGTTTGCAGGGTTTAGAGTTGAAGCTTTCAAGCTTAATTACATGTTGGTAAGGTCGATGGAAGAAGTCCTGCGCCGCCTTAAGCCTTTTAAGTATCTAGAATTACAATACTTTAGGGACCCAGGCGGTGCAAGCTTTCCTCCACCAACAGTACTTGTAGCGTGCTTTGAAGCATCTAGTTCACTGCAGCCAGAGCCTTCCTATACAGGTAATATCAAAAAAAATATCCCATTTTTGGTAGCCCGACATGCTCAGATGCGGTGCCTCATGGAGTACACAGAGGTTCTGGGTGTTGAGTCTTTCCCTGCACGTGCATGGTATTCAGTTATTGGTGGCCTCTGTAGGCATACACTCATGGTAGAGTTTACGATGATTGCACGGGGTTAGACTTGCGTAGATTGTCGGGCATCCATATCAAACTTGATGCTTCCCATTCTCTCGACTAGGAGCCAGATAGTGTGGTGGCACATCTTTTGGTATGTGGGGAAAGATTCCTCGTCCTGACCTGACCCCAATGGATTCCAGTATCTTTAAACTTTGGGTGTACGAGTGCAAGGGTCTCGCTCAACCCTCAACCCTAAACCCTAAAATTTTCAGATATGGGATATGGGGATTCGGGATTTCAGGGGTTTAGGGTTGTAGGCAGTATACGGTTTGAGGGATTAGGGTTCAGGGCTTATCCGAAAGACTAACGACGATTAAGACTTTATTTGCAGGGAGGCTAGGGTAACCCTGTAGTGGAGGGATTTGGGTTTAATTAGGGTTCAGGGTTTAAGGCTTAAGGACTAAGGGTTTCAAGGGCTTAGGGTTCAGGGCTTAGGGGTTAGGGGTTAGGGGTGTAGGCTTCAGGGAGCCAAGGTTTACAGGGGTTTTAGTCTAAACTCCTAGTATCCCCCTTCATAACCCCCTTAATACTCCCCTGTATAAGCCGTTTAAAATCCCCTTTTAAGACATCTAGATTATAGCTCATACGCACAAGCCCGTATTGGCAGCGCGCTGCGCAGCTTAGGGAAAGCCTGGGAGTCGTCGCTTCCCTTTTTTTTTTTAACGGGTCTAGGGGCTAGGGTTTAGGTTTGGGGTCTTGTAGCAAGAGAAGACAGTGTTGGGATTGAATAAGTATGCTGCATCATAGTTGGTCTCCGCCTAACCATCGGCTTATAGTCCCCCTTAAGTAGATAGAATATGGCTTCGGGTATAGTATAACAAGATCCCCATATACCCCCATATTCTATTTACTTGAGGGGGACTATATGTAGCACGCTAAGGGTCCAAGGACACAAATAATAGGGTTTAGGGCCCAAATATTCGAATAATCTAATATTAATGGTATTTGGGCCCTAAAAGCCCTATTATTTGGGTCCTTGGACACTTAGGGTTGGCTTACACAGGAGTAGTTGACTCCGATGCCCGGGTCATCATCAACAACTGCGCCAGCGGGTACGCTACAACCTTGGAAGGGTGAATGGAGAGATGGTTTTGGGGGTTAGGGTGTAAAGGGTTTATAGGGTTTATAGGGTTTATGGGGTTTAGGTGTGTAGGGTTTCAGAGTGATTTCATTCCCCTAAGAAAAGAGGATCCAATCGAAAAGAAAACGAAAAACGACATGGACACTGCGGCTATGTAGGGATTTTCAGCGGATGGAGACGAAAAATCCTGCATGACCCTAAGTACCCTTTAACCTTGGAAGTGATAGTACTACAGTATACTAAGGTCATGGAGGATTGTTAGTATCAACATTAGGCCGGATGCATAGGTTTGGGAAGGGGGTAGGGGTTCAGCGGATTCAGTGGTTTAGAGATGTCAGTTGGGGTTTTGAGGCCTCGATTTTGGGCTTTATAGCATTTGGGCTGAAGCGACTTGGTGGTTAGGAGCTCTAGCAGTTAAGCAATTGAGTGCTGAGGAGTTGAAGGGGGCTGCCTCACATTGCGGCTGCCTTCAAGAGTGATCTGCCTTGTGTATGATGGCATCAGCGGTAATGGCACACACTTGTCTCGTGGAAGGCTCCTCTCTCAGAGCCTCAAGAACAAGCAGCTTAGGCCCTACGTGAAATGCCTTTTCAAGGCTTTACAGGGGCTATATAGGGGTGTAAGAAAAATCGAAATCATTAGCAAACCTAGCCTTGTTGAGGCTCAACGAGGAATTTGGCGGCTCCACTCCTCAACACGAGAGCTCTCTCGCAATGATTAATGACTCTTTTACAGTCTTTTCATCAAGGAGGTAATTGAGTGAAGAAGTCAGCTGGCACCCTAAACGCTAACAGCCGGTCCCAAATGACCATCCAAGCATATCCAATAACCACTTTTTTTTAAAAAAATGCCCTTTTCCTGCTACTAGTCAGCTTTAGTAAGGAGACGCCGGGAAAAAGGATGGTACTTGCGTATAGTCCCCCTTATGTAGATAGAATATGGCTCTGGGTATATTATAATAAGGTCCCCTTATGCCCCATATTCTATCTACTTAAGGGGCACTATACCTAGTACTGTAGAGAACAGGATATGGGAAGGGGCATGGGCTTGACGCAGGTTGTCATCCCGGAGCCCTTAACCCTGTAGTCCCCCTTTAGTAGATAGAATATGCGGTATATGGGGATCTTATAATAAAATACCCAAAGCCATATTCTATCTACTTAAAGGCGACTATAAACCTTAAACCTTAGACCCTGGGTTTAGGGTTTTCAGGTTTAGGGCTCAGCCATAAACCCTAGACCCTAAACCTGAAACCCTAGGTCCTAAACCTTTAGCCCTAAACCTTAAATCCTAAGCCCTAAGCCGTTTTTTGCGAGCTGTAGAGTGGACCCATCTGTATATCAAACTTGTGCGCCCCTCCTATGTTCAGAGTCTGCTTGTGGCTCCACTGACCTTCTGCTTAATCCTTTTGATTCTACCCTAAACCCTAAAGCGGAACCTACCTCACATGCCTCTTTTGTTACGGTAGCTTCAGCCTGTTCCCCGAAATTCAAACCGAATCCCTAAAGCACCTGGTTGGCGCTGCATTGCTCAGGCCGGCTATGTCTCGACAATCGAGGACCCCTTGTCCATTCGCACTGTCGGCCCTCAAAAGCCTGATGAAAATGACGGTTTTTGTAGAGGTAGCTTGCAGGGACCATGTAGTTAGGATATGTAGGGATGTAATTCCCTCCCCCGCATGTTGAAGACCCCACACCCTCCGGCACTTAATTATTCCCAATATAGTATAGTATACCACAAGGGGAATTTTACGATATCAGGCGGGGGGTTTAACATTGGGGGGAAGCGATTTATACATGCATCTATCATCTATATCTATATATATAAAGGGTTGTACAGGGCTGATTTCCACAATAATGGAGAAGCAAATGGAAAAGAACATTCAGCATACAATGGACATCTGGTTGAGGGCAGTCGGTACCAGGGGAAGGGATCAAACAATTCATGTAGATCCCGTGGCAATTTTTTGCCTTGCCCTGAGCCCTAAACCCTCCACACTTCCCTGTGAGCTTTTCTAGGCCTTCCTTCCTGACAGTTCCGACTTTTGGCGCTCATAAGATTAAGCAAGAATTGCGATCTCTTCCGAATAGTCTGTGCACAGTTGCTCAACGTAATCATCTTGTAGGCGGGTGAAAAGGCGAATTCTGCAAAGTGACTTTCATGTAATCCTCCAAAGGGACCTTGCATTGCCTACACAACACAAGATCTTGAGCTTCATCATCCCTAATAAGCATCCCCCATACTGCCCCCATGCCCTTGTGGCCCCTATTGAGCTAAGGGGTTTTCTAAAACAGCAAACCAGTCAGGAGTACCAGCACCAGCGGTACGAGGGTGCATCAACCGCCTATGGACCGCACACGCATGGCGCCAACTCGGCCGCACATGGATGTACTATTCTGTAGGATAGAAAGAAATCTCCCTAAGTCCTAGACCTTAAGCTCTGAACCCTGCACCCTTACCTTTCTTGCGTGCATCTGACATGCCAGCTTTTGCTTTTGTGGGGAGACCCTAAACGCGGATCCTCAAACTCCCTAAACCCAAGCCTTAGCGAAATTCCCTCAAGGGGTAAGTATCCATAATGCAGGGTTTTTAGCCCCAAATACCGTAATCTGATTGTGTTTGATACCTCGAACCCTGTCGTTTGGGGGTACCTACACACTTAGGGACAGTTAAGCCCTAAAGCGAAATGGAGCGGATCTGTAAGCCCCTGGACTTCTCTAACAGGCTTCCAAACTACAAGGCTTCCTGTAGAGGCCGAAAAAGAGGATTCAGTGGTAAGTGCCTACATAATTTAGAATAATGGGCCATCACATGGAAAGTCAAGTTGAGATAGGGTGGGTAGAGCGGGGGATTGCAGCATTTCTATGTATCATCCAAGTTCACAAGCATCAGGGCTCAAGAAAGTATCCCCCAAGCCCTAAGACCTTTGTACCCTGGAAACCCTGAACCCTAAGCCCTAACCCTAAATTGCTTTCAGAGGATAATGAAAAGGTCCAGGGGGATGCAAGTGCCTGAGGCGATGACCAGCATCCTGAAAGAAATGGCCAAGGTTTCGGGTTTAGGGATGAGGGTTTAGGGTTTAGGGATTAGGGCTTAAGGTTGAGGAATTAGGGTTTAGGGTTTAGGTTTCAGGGTTTGGGGCTTAGGGCTTAGCGCTTGGGGTTTAGCATCTCAAGTCCAAGCATTCACGTGTTGAGGTATACAGGGTTTAGGGTACAGGGTTTGAGGTGTACAGTTTAGGGCACTGTGTTTAGGATTTAGAGTCTGCCTAGATGCCCTTCCCCCCAAAGTAACGCGGCGTAGAGCCCGAATGCACACAAACGGGGACCCCTTTAAAGGGGGCACAAGGGTCCTCGTAGGGTGTAGTTTTTTTTTGGTTTCCTGTGCGCCTGGAGCGTAAGAAACAGGAGCTGATGAAGACTCTCCAAAGCAAAATCATTACGCGGTTAGGATTTTTAAGGTTTTCGGGCTAAAGAGTTTTTGGATACAGGGTCCGCATAGAGAGATAATGTACTCTACTTCGAAATTGGATTTAAACGGCGATCAAGGTTTTTTTGGTTATGGCTCTTGGGAGGGCTTTCAGCCATGCTTGTGGAGGTTGCATCTTAGGCGGCCCTCTTCAGACTGCGGAGTTGTGAAATAGATAAATTTTCCGCAAAGGATGACTGTAAGAACTGAAGTTCTTCAATTCTGGGACAGGGTCTAGGGTTGTGCAATTGGGGCTAACTATTATATCAACCTTTCTATGAAGCCTACACCTGAAGGTTCTTTGGGTCTAAGGTAAGGCCCAAGCCCTCATCATATTTTGTCGAGGGCAAGACCGAAATCTCAAATCCCAAATCGTTAAGCCCCACGCCCTACACCCTAAACCCATGTCATGTCATATCCTCCTGGCCGGAGGTATACTTATACTAGCAAGAATAACGGCAGTAGCAATAGCAGCAAGGAAGGTGACAGTAACAAGAACAGTAGCACTGATACTTATGGACCCTAGCCTTGGACCTTAAATCCTTCCTTTGAGATGGTTCAAGGGGTTGGGTTTTGGGAGTCCTAGAGTAAATTGCTGGAAAACAATCTGTGATGACGATGGTGATCAACTGTTCTGTCCGCAAGAAACGGTAAAGGGTGACACATATATGAGCTATAGTCTGAAGCCCTAGTATCCCCCATAATATCCCCTGTAATCCTCTCCTTCTAATTCCCTATATAACCCGCCTTTTTAGGAGTTTGGCCTATAGCTCATATAAATACCCCCAAGACATCACCCCCTCCAGTCCCTGTAAAGGCCCTACATGTCCAAGCCGTAGAGCCCTAGCCCCAGATTAGGGTTTAGGATTTGGGGTTTCTGTGGCTCTGACCAAGTCCTTGATAGAGATATTGCCCCAGCAGCGGTGAATCAAACGGAAAACGTGAAAACATGAAATTCAAACTACCATTCCGGTTGCGGCTTTAGGTTTAAACTAAACCTTGGCCAGGTCCTTATGGACTACATGGTCTATAGGTGGTATACTAGGAAGGCACAGACCTCTGATCGTCAGAAATATCCAAACAATAGGCAGACCAACACACAGGTCTGTCTCAGAAGACCTGAATGGAGCAATATGCTTCAAAGGAGGACCCGCGCACAACCCTAGACTCTAAGCAAACCCCAAACCCTAACTCCTAAATTATTACGAACCCTTACAAACCCATAACCCTGTTCAAAGCTCGCAGATGCGCGGGCCAACCCCTAAAACAAAAGGCCTGGAGAAATTCATTCGGCGGCAAACTGGAGCGCTTAAACCCTAAGCCCATAACCCTAGACGCTACAACCCCTAAACCTTTACCCGATTCTTCTTACTATGAAATTAATTGGAAATTTCTCAAAACCATCACTACATAGTGCCGAAGAAGGACTCCCAAAGCCTTCTCATACTCCCAAAAATGTCCCTAAAACCGCTGAATCCACCCTTTTCTGAGAAATTAATTCCCAAATGCTAGATGAACCCTGAACCTTAAGCCCTAAACAATCATGAAACCCCACATCCTAAGCCCTATTAGTGTGGTATTTCTATAGCCCATTAATTGATGTTCCCATAAAATCATATCCAGACTCCTGGGGGGGATATAGAAAGTAGAATATGGCAACCTATGCTACGACTGGGTGATTTCAAGGGCCCCGCAAAGGGATCTACTTTCTAGATTCTAAGCCCTAAACCCTAAGCCCTAAACCCTAAACCCTAAACCCGAAGCCCTATCCTTTGAAGGGGCCTTCAAAGGGGGATTTGCTTTCTACATCCTCTCAGGGGTCTGGGTAGCCGTACACTAAATCCAAAACCATGAACTTTAATTCCTGAACCCTTAACGCTAAATCCTGCATAAGATATACCAGGAGTAGGAGAGAACCTTGAACTACATATATATATATATATCTCTCTCTCTCTCTCTCTCTCTATGATCACTATATAACCCGTATAATCCCCATAACACCCTTTACAAACCAACTGTATGCCTTGCCTTAAACCCTTAACCCCAATCCTTAGATCCTAAAACCTGAACCCTAAACCCTAAATCTCCAAACCCCCAAACCCCTTAGCCCCAAACCCCTAAACCCTTAACCCTAAACTAGCTTAAACCCTAAACCCTAAACCCTCGGTCGATTTGCAGGAGATGGCCGAGGGCAAGGTGTACCGCTGGCCGGGAGCCCCGCCGGGGATCCCCACCGAAGCGCAGCTGTGGGAGGGGCAGAAGCTGGGAAAAAGCTTTGGGCCGGGGTTTAGGGTTTGGGTTTAGGGTTTGGGGTTTGGGGTTTTGGGTTTAGGGGTTTAGGGGTTAGGGTTTGGGGTTTTGGGTTCAGGATAAAGCCTTGGGGTTTAGTTTAGGGCTTGAGACTTACAGTTTAGGCTAGGGTTTAGAAACTTCGTGAAATAGATAGGTGCAATGGTTGGGGTTCAGGGCATGAAGTTTAGGGTTTAGTGTAGGGCCTAGGGATTTATTGTAATATTTAGGGCTTTGGGTTTATGCGGTAGTTTTGGAGTAGGTTCTGGTACTTCTTCGAATGGTTGGGATTAAAACATTGGGTTTAATGTGCTTCGGCTTTTTGGAGCAGGGCTGAAAGGATTAAGGTTTGGGGCTTCAGTTTTGAAGGTGGAGGGTTTAGGGGATTTAGGTGTTATGGTTGAGGAATTAAGATTTGCTCCTCATTTCTGGGTCTAGGCATCAAGCTTTTGCAGTTTAACAGGTTTCGGTTTCGAGTTCGTTTAACTGGGAAGGGCATGAGGGATTGGTTCTGATAGAACAGCATATTCCATGTCCCCTAAACCCTATTGCAAGCGTTCTTGGAAAAGATCCCGAGGGCCGTCAGGTCTCCACCTGAGATCAAACGGGCTCGAGGAGTACAGGAGACAATATTCCCTGGTATCCGGCTTACATACTGACATCCAGTCTATGCATGAACTTTTCCACCTTTAGATCAACACCCCTTCCATAATCCCTATCAACCATCACAACTAAACAGCCCAGCTTGTGTTTGTTTTCCATTTTCTTTCGGAGTTGTATCCCCTAAGCCCAATATAATATACCCCATATACGCATGTTAGGGTCCGACTTGTAGGGCTCTCAAATCTTTTTCCAGCCCGGCTACAGCTCCTCAAACGTGACTTCCTCAAACAACAAAGTATCAAACTACGAAAAGCATCAAACAATATTCAAAAAGGCTGTTATTTTACATAGTTTGCGGGTTCAGGTGGCATTTTTCAGCAGCTGCCATGTGCCTTTAAGGACTGACGTGGTGGCCGATGACCCTCCCATTGGCCTGGGTCTCAGGTCCGTTAGGAATGTTATGTGGCAGAGCGCCCTGAACCCTTAACCCTGAAACCCCGCACTCTCAAACCCTGAAACCCCCAAACCCTAAAGTGCACGCTGCCCACTGTAGGGGGCAAGTTCGGAGATGTGAAGTCGGACGTTGCGCCTTGGAACTACCGCCCCGGCAGCGTGGCGCAGGCATGGTCTTCGCAGTTTCCTTGTTTAGGGTTAAGGTTTACATTTGAGCTTAGGGTCGAGTTTTGGGTTGTGTTTGGCGTTTAGGGTTCAGGCTGGGGTTTAGGGTCTGGGCAGTAAGCTGATACAGGATTTCCAAGAGTGGGAGGACCCCCAAACCCCTAAACCCTTAACTCTAAACTGCGCACTACTCAGTGCAGGCCACCATCTGGGGCGCCCATCCCCGCAACAATCTCCGCCGGAACTCCACCTTCGTGTCGGTGTGGCGTTCGGAGGTGCATTCCCTGTAGAGGATTTGGGGGTAATTGAGAGGTTGCAGCACCAGGGCGATGTGTGAATGTATTTTTTTGCCAGCATCTTTAAGGGTTCATGGCGTTCGATTTGCTGCTGGGGTTTTACAGCTGGGTTTCGCGGTTCATGTAGGGGCTTTCCAAGTCTGCTTCCGTTGGGGGGGGGGGGGGATTACGGGGTTGTGCAGGGACCTGAAACCCTAAACCCTAAACTCTATACCCTAGACCCTAAGCCCTATAAACCCTACTTGGGTTTAGGGTTTAGGGTTTCGGGCTTCATAGCAGTAATAGTATAGTATTAACGGTACTAATACAAGGGTAATAGTTAGTGTAGTATCTAGAATAACAGTAGAACTAGATTTCATGTCATGCGCTGGTACAAACCTTGCCCGCCTTTTGCCTTTGTATGTTTGAGTTACCCCAATACAAAATTTCAAGTCTGTCTCAAAGGTACCTCAACAGCAGTTAGGTCTAATGTGGTCCTAAGACTCAACATCCCGGACCCTGATCCCTACTTGAAGGTGAATCTTTGGCGCCCAGCGGTACCGACCTCGAACCTAAACCCAGAAACCCTAAACCCCTTGGTGAATGACTTACTTGAGAAGGACTCGGTAAAGTTCCTACAGCGCAACCCATGAATCTCTTAGCCAGTCCTTCACCAGAATTATGGGTGTAGGGCCATCTCTATACAGCCCACGCAGAACAATCCAAGACCTTCTATGTAATCCCTAAATCTTGTAAATCTCAATTGGGTTCAGTTGTACATGTATAAATATGGAAGCCGTCAAGTCGAATGCCTAGGCCCTAGAGCCTAATCGCTACATGTTAAAACCCTAAAGCCTACACCCAAAACTCTACTGAACGGTGGACCTCCTAAGTGATCCATACCACGTCAACCCTCTAAGAAATCCCTAAGCCCTAAACCCGCCAAGTAGCACCAAAAACCCTAAAACCCTCCAAATAGACCCCCAAAACCGCAGAACCATCCTACAACCCTCCAAGTAACCTCCACGCACACCCCAAAACCCCCAAACCCTAAACCCTATACCCTAAAACCCTAAACCCTAAAACACTTTGAAACCTAAATGAAGTGGCAACCTGCCAGGACGGCAAGTCGAACTGGAAGATGGCCAGAGCCTGAAGGAGTTGACAGTCAGGGGGTTTAGGGGCTAGGGTTTAGGGGTTTAGGGTTTGGGGTTTAGGGGTTTAGGGGTTTAGGGGGGTTTAGGGGCTAGGGTTTAGGGGTTTAGGGTTTGGGGGTTTAGGGGCTAGGGTTTAGGGGTTTAGGGTTTGGGGTTGGGATACGGAGTAGGGGGCTAGGGTTTAGAGGTTTAGGGGGCTAGGGTTGAGGGGTTTAGGGTTTGGGGTGGGGCTAGGGAGTACCGCCTTGACAGGTTTAAACTTAAATCCTTGCACGAAAAAATGAGGTAAACAATGACTCTGGGACTACTTTAGATCCTTTCAAGCAGAACTGACTCAAAAAATGGTTCTGGGCTGAGGTTGTTTGTTCACCGTCCGTACTTCTTGTGCTTTCTGACCCCTACCGTATCCCTAAACCCTAAACTCCAAACCCCTGATCCCTGAACCCTAGCCCCACCCTAAACCCTGAACCCCTGCGCATCCCTCGATCCAATGAGCTAGGACCCGGGCAGCAATCTTTACCCTATGCCTTGTTGGTGTTTAAGGGGAGCGGACAAGGGAGTATGGGTACTGTAGGGGCCTCATTTATTACAAGCTTACCAATGTTATACTTCCAGATTCCTTGTCTACGTGTGGTACCAACGTCATTTTCTGATATTTTTCGGCCCGTACATTGCTAGTGTATAGAGGCATGTACACGCATGAGACATGGAATGTTGGAGAAATGCAGTCCCGCGCTGGCCCGTAAGCAGTAAGTTACGAAGCGTGGAGGCAGCGTAGGAAATGTAGTGAGCTTGGAGTTTGGGTTTTTGGGTTGTGAGGTAGAGATAGCACATGAGCCATAGTCTGAACTCCTAGTATCCCCCTTACTAATTTTTGCAGTAGTACCCTATATAATCTCCTATATAACCCCCCTTTAAGGAGTTTAGACTATAGCTCACATGACCGCACTGCAGCTGTGGAAAAGGGATATGACCATCACGGCCTCGAGCCTTACAGCCTTCGGTTTCCGAGAGGCCCCAAACTCTGACTACTCGAAATATCCCAGATTCTGAACCCGAAATCCTAAATGCGAAAAGCCCAACATCCTTCCCAAACCATGAACCCTAAACCCATAAACGCTAAGCCCAAAATCCTGCCTAAATCCCAACCCTACATCACATTATATCCCAAGCCGCAAGGAATAAAGTAGCTTGCAGCTGTCGGTCTTCCGGTGGCTCAGACAGTCCAATATAAGTTTCATTAGGGAACATACCGCCCCTCAATGATACCAGGATCCCTGATATGGTTTAAGGTATAATGATTTTGTGTACTGCCCCCCATGCAATAACAGTAACAGTTGGATAAAGGTTATAATATAAATACATATATGTACACATTGTTTGCTCATTTGTTTTTTATATTCATATTCATGTTTACATTTTTTGTTTATTCATAGTCCTTACTATGACCCCTATGGGTGGGGGCAGTACCCAAGGTATATTCCCTGATTTCGGGATATTGGGTTTTCTGCTGGCTCAAGGTAGCGGATGATAACGACTGGGAGTTGAGCTTCGAGTGGAAGCGTGTAGGCCTGGCTTGCCTTCGTTTAGGATTTGGGGTTTAGGGTTAAGGGGTATTGGGTTTAGGATTTGGGGTGTAGGGCTTGGGGTTTAGGGTTTAGGGTTCGGGGTTTAGGGTTTGGGGTTCGAGGTCAGGGTTTTAGGGTTCAGTGTCTAGGGTCTAGGGCTCACGGTGTGCATAGTGGACGCGGCGGGCTGTGAGCTTTCTCTTTAGACATAGTGGCGCCCTCCCTATCCACCCCAACCACCCAAACACTTCTCGTGTACAGTTTAGGGCTCCTGCCCCGAAACCCCTCTAGCAAGGGATGCTTGCATGCTCTCTTGCGTCCATGCTCACCCAACCACCCAGTGCAACATCCACTCCTACACAAGGTTGCGTTTTCAGGCGGTGCTCCACCCCAAACCCCCCAAATCCTGAACCCTTGACCCTATGTGCCCTATACCCTAAACCATCCAACCCTAAGCCTTAAAGCCTAAATCCTCCAACCCACACCCTTCACCAAGCTCTAAACTCTGAACCCTAAACCCTAAACACTGAACCCTGCGCTCGAAACCCTAAACCGCTCTCATCCATTATAAGTTCAACTTTAATGACCTTAGTTTGCTAGGCCAAGTAGTGTCAACCTTCTTGGGCATCGGGCTTTAGGGTTCGGGCTTTGGCGTTCAAGCTTCAGGGTTCGGGCTTTAGGGTTTGGGTTTTAGGGTTGGTTTCGGTGTTCTGGCTGTAGGTTTTCATACAGAAAAACGTGTGGTGGAATGGTGCCGGTGCATCAGTTGAAACATTATGGAGATGATCTATTTACTTATTGATGTTATGGGACCAGATGGGCGGGTGTATTTTTCCATGATTTAAGACAACTGCTCTTTGAATGAATGCTTGCACTTGATGCTGAACCCTAAACTCTGCACTGGAAACCCTAAACCCTTGAACCCTCAACCCTAAGCCCGAAACCCTCAACCCTCAACCCTACGTAGGCATCTCCGCAAGTACGGTGACCATCACTTGGGAGATCCCTGCGGACGTGAAGCCGGGCTTCTACTCGCTGCACCTTGGGATCTCCTTTAGGATTTAGGGTTTAGGGTTTAGATTGGTTTAGGCTACAGGGTTCAGGGTATAGGATTTAGGGTTCAAGGTCTAGGTGTTAGGGTTCAGGGTATGGGGTTTAGGGCACAAAATTCAGGGTTTCAGGTCTAGGTGTTGGGGTTGGGGGTTTAGGAAACAGGGATTTGAGTATGGGGATTAGGGTATGGCGTTTAGGGATGAGGGTATAGGATTTTTGGTTTGGGTATAGGGCGTTAGGCTTAGGGTTCAGGACTTATGAGGCATAGGGCTTAGGATTCAGGATTTAGGGCATAGGATTTGAGCATTTATATCGGGTTTAGGATATAGGGTTCAGGAGCTCGAGCGGAGGGTATAAGGGGATCTGTGAAGTCTCGGGTTGGTATGGAGAGGTTGCTACATTAGGGTTTAGGGTTTAGGGTTTAGGGTTAGGGTGTGGGGTTTTGGGGGTTTGGGCTTAGCTTATGGCTTCAGATGTCTTACTTGTGTCGAAGGGAGGGGTAGGAGTGGATCTCTATGATTATCAAAATCCCTAAGGGTCCATGTACCCAATAATCAGGTACCTGGGTTTTGGGTAAAAGTAATTATAGTACAGGTTTTGGGCAAGTATATGGTTATTGGGTACTTGGACCCTTAGGGTAATTGTACTTATATTCACTTCCCCTGAATGGCTGTGAAGGTCTCGGGCAATATATGGCGGGAAAGTAGTTCATATGATGCCATAGATGTGGTTTCAGTGAGGTCAGGGAAGGGTTCAGGGCCTAGGGCTGAAGGACGAAGAGTTTGAAGGAATGGGACGCAGGGCAGAAGAACAAAGGGAGGTGTTGTGCACGAAGGGTTCAGAGTCTAAAGTTCATAGGAGCTGCAGCGCAATGTTGATGGGTAAGCAGCCAAGGGTGTAGAGTTTAGGATACTTTGGTACGCAGCTGCAGCCTGCAGCATGATGACATCATCATGTCCCTAAAGCCCTTAGCCCTTGGAATCTTGATATGTGAGCCATAGTCTTATCTCCTAGCATCCCTTTAGTAATCCCTATAATAGTCCCCTATATAATCCCGTAGATAAACCTTTTGAAGGAGTTTAGACTATAGCTCAGGTGTTGCCCCAATTAACTGCTGCTAGCAGATGCAAGGAGCCTCAGCCTCAGCTCGAAATCCTATCCCTAAGCCCTCGAGTTACGTCAATTCGCATACACTGCAGCGCTTTAGGGTTGTAGCATATGCCTCAATGGTTTCGGGCTGGGGCCTTAGCAAATGCTGCAATCTCACGGCTCTGCATCTGAAGCTTAGCTCTAGGGCTAGCAAAGGAACAACTCAGCAGATTCCAATCCTTGCTCCACCTGGCCGCACACACTCTAATGGCAAACCCTCTGGTTAAGTCACTGGTTCTGAGTAGGGAATAAGGGAATATACTCCCAATTTCAATCCCCATATAATATGTTGTTACCCCTAAACCCTAAATTCACTTCTGACACAGTGCAGCTGTTCTCTTCATGTGCCTGAACTATGGGCGCGCTAACACGGACTCGGTAGGCCTGGATACTCATCATGCAAACCGTACATGGGGGGTTGAGGGTTTAGGGGCCTGGACAGTAAGGACGATAATAGTTTAAACTACCACATCTGCTAGAGCAAATCACCTTCGTGCGGTGCCAGCGTCTTTGACTAAAACTTGTGGTTCATTCCAGCAAGACTACGTAAGCACTCTGCTTCTTGCCCACAACCCAGCGTTACCCTCCTTTAGAGAAAGATATGTGCACATATGCACATGCATTTGTGGGTTTCTAAAGATTAAGTGTCCTTGTTCGGAAATCCTTGTCGTCAATCTGGACAATAGAATTTGGGGGTATACAAAAATCCCACCGCATGTTGGCAGACCTCCACAGAGTAATTCAGGGCTGTATATTCTAGCGTGGACTTCTTCATCGTAGGAAGGGAACGCGCAACAAGAAAAAGTAGGGGGGGAGTGATAGAGACGCCTGAATCGGGGTTTAGGGCTTAGGGCTTAGAGTTTAGGATTGAGGGCAAGGATCAAGGGTTTTGATTGGTCTTGATCGGTAGACGACATGTAAACCCTGAATCCCCCAAACCCAAACTACCCGAAGCCTTGACGTTTTGTTCCCCAAATCCTGCATCCAAGCCCTGAACCCTAAGTCCCGTATCTCCAGCCCAGCCCTGCGAAACTACTTCCTTTGAGGCATTACAGTGGTGAAGCCAAACACATGGGCAGCATCAAAACAATCAGTGGCACGGGACCCGGGAAAGTTAGTATAGCAAGTACCCTACCCTAAGGATCCAAGGACCCAAATAACAGGGTTTCAAGGCCCAAATACCATTAAATTTCATGATATTTGGGCCCTCAAACCCTATCATTTGGGTCCTTGGACTTAGGGCTAGATTAAGGTCGCTCAACAACCAGGGTTCACCATATCATGTGTGGGAACAATTATGTGGGTAGTTCGCAAACATCAGGGCATAAGTTTGGTACCTCTAATTTAGGTGCCGTAAGCAAGTCTATAGCCAAAAGGGGCCCATAATTTGAGGACAACCCATTTGGCAGCCTAAACCCTACATCCCTAAACCCGTCACATTTCCCTTCCTGTGTTTTAGGCTCGAGTAGTCAAGGCCAATGGACTTTTAGGACCTGTCCCTCAAGAGATTGGAGCTTGAGAACAGGGTTAAGAATCGAATGCTATCATATCCGATAACATACTATGACATACTATAAGATTTTTTAGATTACCATAATGCCCTATAATATCCTACAAGATGCTATAAAATGTGCTACAATATATTGTACTGTACTATAATATGGTTCGACAGGATGAAGGACGCTCTGGGTTTGGGAACACACATGATGTTACACAAAGCTGGGAGGGACGGAGCATTTGTGTCTTGTACAGTCGGACCCTGAAGTCGTAACAACTGTCCGGTTTTGCTTGCCCACACTGGGGAAGTGGAAAACGGGAAGTCGTAACAATCAGCGGTCTCACTGGGGATTGCAGATTCTTTACTGTCATCCAAAAGTTGAGTTTTACATGCTCGCACTTGTTCATCTCAGATTCTCATAGCCATTTTGGCTCAGACCCACATGGCAGCGCAGAAAATATTGACACAGGTCCAGATCCTGAAGCGTTCCGCATCCGTTCTCAGGGATGTGATGCTGGAATGTTGGTATGAGTCCCTCTTCAATTGTTCAAGAGTTCTTAGATTTTATCGCCCTATGCTTAGGGTATCCCTCAACGGAATTCAGTGCTTTTATGTGCAGTGACGGGTTTTTCGTATTGTTCGGGGTATCGTTCGGGTATCGTTCGGGGTATCGTTCACTTCCTTGCAGGTTTTCGGATTTTGGAGTCTCCTTGGGGAGTTGCATCCGGTGATGCATACTTTCCCCAAAACAATCTTCATCAACTTACCCTAAGTCAGCGGTTCACTGGGGAAGAAGGCAATTGTTATGACTTTCTGCTGCTGCATTTCCCAGCAAACAAGATTTTTCGCATCGTTGCTTTACATGCCTGAACCCAAGCGGTTCACTGCGGAAACAGGAAAACGTTATGACTTCCCCGGAAAGAGTCATAACGCGTGGTTCAATGGGGAACCGGTTCCCCCACTGCAATTGTTATGACTTCAGGGTCTGACTGTAGAGGGAATCATTAATGAGCGAAGGATCTAGCATTGAGAGATTGAAGCATGAAGGGGTGCAGATTGACGTTCAGGGCTTAGGTTATATAGGGTTTAGGGCTTAGGGCAAAAGCGAAGACGGAGAGATGGATTATATGTTTTCAGACTTTATAGTCTAGGCTCTGAACAAATGATTTCAAGAAAGACCACATTGTCCCGGTCAGTTCTTAGACCCTCCAGCTACCCTCTATTTCACCTTAAATACCCACTATCAGGGACAATTTACCCCCAACCAAGGGGACAAGGAGGGTCTTGGTCCACAAAATATGGCAGAATATGCAGATGCGCAGCACTCGCCATTTGGGCGCACAGGTCGGGTGGTTCAGTATATGTTGAGGGAGGGAGTCGGTGCAAATATAGATCTATATACATATAGTCATATTTGTATATATAGATATACACATGTATGTATATACATATATACATACGTATATGTATAACCGCTACTGTTATGTACTAGTGTTCTTACTATGTGTTAGCATCACATCTGTTTCTGTTGAACATTCGCACCATCATTGTTCTTATGATCGCATTATTGTTAGTAGTCAGTACTACCATTATTACATATTTGGTCTGTCACCTATTTTCCAGGTGATCCTCATGGGCCTGCCGCTGTTGCCCGAGCACCGTGTATCTCATGAGCCTTTAACCCCAAACCGTCCCCAAACCCGCTCTCTAGATATGAGCTACAGTCTAAACGCCTAGCATCCCCTTAAGTTTAATATCACGTATAATACTCCCTTATGTAATCCCCTATATTCCCCCCTTGAAGGAGTTTAGACCCTAAACCCTAAACCCTTAATCCTAAACCTTAAATAATCCCGTATATAATCCCCCTTTAAGGAGTTTCGACTGTAGCTCATATCACCAACCCTAGTTAGTGAGGATGCAAGGTGTTCTTTCCTTTCCCGCCCTAAACCCTAAACCCTTTTAGGGTTTCGGGTTTAAGGTTTAGTGTTATGGTTTAACCCTAAACTTAGGAATCTCTTAGGGCTTCTTGGCAGGAGATAGAGAGCCCTGTGATGTAGAGATCCTAGTTGCCAGCCTTGAGCCGCTAACCCTTTGGGGGTTATATTGGGCTTATATGTTCCTTCACTTCTCTGGAGCGCACGCGTTTAAAGCATGGGAAAACGAACCCCAAGACTCTCAAACTTACATCTAGGGTTTAGGGTTCTAGGGTCTAAAACACTTGGAAAGCTCCCTGAGTGAACTAGAAGAACCCGTTTTAGAGGCCGCAGCCGCGTCTTCCCAGTGGAGGGCCTGCCGGAAGTGAACGTGACGATGCAGTGAGGGCGCTGTCATGATCTTGGGGGCAGGTTGGCTACCGTAGGGTTTAGGCTTTAAGGTTTAGGGTTTAGGGTTATACCCATTGATGAAAGGGTAATTACTATTGAACTGTAGGTAAATATGGGTTACAAGTAGGATTTAAGGCCTTCTACTTGCAACAATGACCCCTGCTGTGTGGGTGTGATACAAGTCAGATGTTGCTTTTGCGGGCTCACTAGAGCGGACGCCCTATCTTAACACTCAGCGTTTTCCCGAAGGACTTTATGTAGTAATGTAGTACTCACCAACACCACGACAAAGATCCTACCTCATGTTGGGATCAGAATTTGTAAGGCGCGAATACTTGAACACATCATGTAGCATTTCCTGAATGGTTGAAGTATACCCCTTCCTCCAGAACTTGGTTCGGATCGTTCATGCCTCGGCCATTCGTACGTGATAAGTTGCAAAGGGGAGATGGTGGGCTTGTTTGGCGGTGTTGTGGGGGTAGTGTGTGGGGTGCAGTGCTGTACTTGGAGGGTCAGGGAGACTTACTAAGTATACGTACAAGCCCAAAAACGCGATTATTATAAACCTAGTTATTAAGACCCCTGACCACCCTTCAAGTAGGGTGGAGAGTGCGACATCAAGATGGCAGAGAGCTCCCATGAAAAGGGACATTTTCAGTATACCCCCACATACTGGGTTGCTGTCAAGGAACTTAAACTAAGTTGCCATCATAAGGAAAGCTTTATACACATATATATATATATACTTATACATATACGCTCATCCTATGATAGCTTGAACGCTAAAGCCTCAACAATACGTACCTATCTTATGGTAACTTTGAGTTCCTGAACTGCAAGCCAGTTTATATTCGTCATCTAGCCCCAGTACCTTGAAGGGCCCCCTTTGCCTGAGAACCTCCCAAACATGCTCACAGGCATGATGATCAGAGGGTTTTAGTAAGTGTTAATCAGGGGGATAACTGGAGTTACTATATGAGCTTTAAGCTAAACTCCTTAAAGGGGAGTTATACATGGGATTGTTTAAGGGAGTACTATAAGGGCTATGAAGGGGGATGCTAGGAGTTTAGACAGCCGTTGATATGGGTTATGGGGGTTAGACGACTTACTAAGTCCCCTTGACCCTCCAAGTGCTACCTGAAGAATAGACCTTGCATCTCAAGACACCAGCTATAAGTTTCTCTGGGTTCTTCCCGCAATTTCGCTGCAATCTCCACAGTCATGCTCATCATAGTTGAGATTTTATTATTCCCAAATCACTAAACCTAAACCCAAAATTCCTGCAGGTAGGTGTTGGCCTCAAGCAAGCTCCATAGCCCAGTGGCTTTCGAGATTCCCAACCTCCAGGCCTTGAACACTATTCCAACGTTTAGGATTAAGGGCATGATGTTGAGGCAGAGCAGGGCAGTTCTGCTATGACCTTCATGATTTTCATTAAATGCAGTCAAATATCTCCTACACTGGGCTAGGGTTTAGGGTAGTTTAGGGTTGAAAAATGTGACCCAATTTTGCCCCTACACTTTAGGCCTTGGGCTCAAGAAGTACCATGGCCCTACAGCGGAGTTGCCGCACAAGCCCCACGCTGCGGGAACGGCGCGCGCGCGCGGGGAGTTCGAGCTGCAACCCTCCGGGGACCATTCACAGGGGCAAGGCATCGTTTTCTTGCCATGTGGTAGTTTTCACAAATAAGAGGACCCCAACGTAGACCCCAATGTGTTATAGTCCCTGCTTATGGGCACCCCCGGAAAGGACGCCTGATTTTCGGAAACCCCCATGTAGCGCACTAGGTCTCGGTCAGGGTTTTGGATTCAAGCATTGGCGCTGAGGGCTACGGCCCTGGAGTGTAAGGTGTAAGGTATCATGGTATACAGAGTTTAGGTTCAGGACATGGTGCAGGTAGAGGGGATCGTGTCAGGCTTTTGGGCTCAGTCTGGGTTTATTCAGTTTGGGTTTTTGGGTTCAGGTATGAACGGCATTGTCCGTTAAGGCGGATTATGTAGGAATACAGCCGCCTTCACGAGTATGGACCTACGAAAGGGGCCCTGTGAAATAGTGCAGCCCTTACTAAGCCAATATGGGGCTCCATGTTTGCTTCCGGACTGACAGCCCAGGCCCTGAAAGGTTCCAAACCGCTCAACCCAAACCCTATACATGCTTATGGAACCCGCCAGGTAATGCCAATCTAGCTAAGACGTGCTGTTGGGCGGATGGCATAGAGCTCACCTGAAATAATAGGGTGTTGATCGAAAGGAACTGGGCCGCATAGGGTTTAGGACCTTCAAGGGTGGGGTTTATGTGCCTCTGGCATTTTAAGCATGCATGCAGGCCCTGGGCTTCCAGGACTAGAGGTGAGCCTCACGTTGGGCCCTACCGTCTATAAATGATAGTTACTTTGGGCTATTTTGATGCCCAGAGCTTTACATTCCTGAAGCCTAAACCCGAAAACCTACAGCACACACCCCAACATATCAAGATTCCTCTTTTTAGGAATTGCCTGCGAGCTAGGCGTAGGGTTTAGGATTTAGGGTCCAGGGTTTAGGGTTAATGCTGAGGGTGCAGGGTTTTGGGTCAGGGTCTAGGGTTCGGAGTCTAGGGTTTAGGGTGTAGGCTTTTTGGTTTGTGGTGGTCTTACTTTTCAACTGCTGGAAGAGGTTTCCGTTTCACTGATGTGTTTAGCTATGCTCTTTCTAGGAAATGCCTCGGGGTTGAGGGACCAGGATGATGCAGCAGCCTTCTGTTTTTTTAATGTTACCTCCGGATTGGACGATGCGTCTGATGCCTTGCCCAGCCTTGCATGCTGCATGTGCTCTGGAAACAGGCCGCATGTTAGGGTAGAGGGTGAGGTTAGGAAGGGTGTAGCTAAGATATAGACCACCAACAGGCTTCTCCACTGTCTTGTTTTAGCAGCACACAACGCTTCGTGCACTGTAATGAACACCCTGATAATACTCCTTGGGACTTAGCTTGGACCTTGGACCCTTAACTCTTTTTAGATCCCTTTATACTCCTATTATAGGTATCTAAGGGTTAACCCTTAGTAGGGGTCCTACGTGCCATGTAGAATACACGTTCCCCAAACCTAGACCCTTAAAGAAATGGCTCCCATCCTGGCCCTGCGAGGTTTCGAAAAGCCTGAGTCAGTAAACCCTGGACTTGAAGGTATACGCGGTTGAGGGTTGAGGGCTTGGGGGATAGGACATCCAAAAGGGTTTAGGGTTTAGGGTAAGAGACAATACCAACGAAAACATTGTCAAACGGGTATTTTGTTGCATGCTTCGGGGTCGGGGGTCCAGGTACTCGTATTCCCTGTGTGGCTTGGCTTCCCTGACCTGCAAGCAGGGGCCTGGAGTGATAATTCAACGAATGGAAACGAACATAGAAGCACTTTTCAAAGGAGAATCAACATGAAACATCTGATGGACATTGAAGCGCAAGCTAGGGCTACATAGGATTTGTGTATGCCACGTCTTGAGAGAGAAGCCTGTTTCCAGGGCTCTCAATGCCAATCCGGTCTGCAAACAATCCCGGCAGACGAAACTGATAGCTCTAGCGCTTGAAGGCCTGGATAATCTGGAAACCTGAAAGCGTAAGTCATGCATTCCCCTATTCGCCCCTAGGCCCACCTATCAAATTCGCCTCAATTAGTGATGCTTACCTTCAATAATCCCAATGAAGGGAAAGCCTTGGGGCATAATTAGGGGGAGGGGGGGAGTAGGGAAGATCATGAGCAAGGAAAGTCGTCTTGCTGTAGCTTGGGTATCATCTTGGCTACCAAGAAGATGTACAACAAGTGGAGCGTCCGTGCATTTTTGCTGAAATCAAGCTCTGGCATGGAGCGTTCTCACATTTTTTTTGGTTGAGAATGGAGCTCTCGCATGGAGTGTTGTCGCAGTTTGCCTTGAAACCCAGCGCTCACGTGAAGCGTCCTGGGAGGGTGTTTCTTTTGCTGTTCGGGATGGAGGAAGGTTAAACCGACGGCATGGGGAGACCTAGGGTTTAGGCCCTAGGCGTGTAGGGGTGTAGAGGTTCAGAGTGTTGGGATTGGAGTGTAGGGTTTAGGGTTTAGGGTTTAGGGCTGTTAGGGTTTAGGGTTGTTAGGGTTTCGGGTTTGGGGTTGTTAGGATTTAGGGGCAGCAATGCGGTCGAACTCCCACGTTATGTTTCTTGCCGGGAGCGTGGCTCGAGCCGGCTCCAAATTCAACGATTCCCTTGAATTTTGAATGTGAAGCCGAAGATTACAACAAGGTGTTAAAGACCAGCACCTGTTTAGTATTCCTGTACAGTACAGACGATGCGCATCCACTTTTGCTGCCTTCAGAGGCAAGCGCGTATGTTCAAGTTGGCTTCAAAGACTCCAAAAGCGTTGGGTATCAGGCGGTGCAACGGCTCTTAACGCCCAATGTTCAAACTCTTGCGGTTTGAAGTTTCCAAAATGTGGGTTCCTTTGCGCAAGTCCCTTTACTGAGTTCTAGAACATTTTGGGTGCATGTCAGGTGTTGGCATATCTGGTCTAGGTATTGCAATGTCCTGCATGGGTTGTTGAAGTTTGGAGGTATCTTTCCGCAACAAGTCTAAACCCTTTACCCGAGAACAACTTCGGGGAGTTTTTTGGCATTGTACAAGGAGGAGTAGGGCCCCCTTGAACTTTCCCGAGTCCCTGAAGAGCTGGTGAGCTGGTAAAAGCATGTCAGCTAGAATCTAAGCTCCTCAAAAGAGGTCATACAGGACATTCTATATGGCAGTATTATAGGGCTGATTAAGGAGGATACTAGGAGTTTAGACTCTAAACCCTAAGCCAGAATCCCTGAAAACCCCAAAATCTCAACCCTAGGGTCATTAAGGGGGATACCAGGAGTTCAGGCTATCATGCATATCATTCTTAGGTATGTGGAGCTGTCGAGTGCAAGGTCCACTAGCACTTCTATGATTTCCTCTCAGAGCCCTAACCCCAGGGGTTTAAGGTTTAGGGCTTAAGTTACCATAATGGGTATAGGG